GTTCTTAAGATAGATATTAGAAAGGTGTGTTTACTGGAGGGACGCGATTAGGCTTGTACTTCATCGAAGTCGGCACCTGTGGCAGGAGTGGACTCGGAACATTCGTGTCGGTGGCTGATGGGGTACGTGAGAATGGAACTGAGCGTAGGTAGAAGGCAAGAACGGGGCCCCCGCAGAATCAAAGTGGAGAAGTTGGCGGGCGGTGTATCATTCGTTATGTTGACAATGAAATGCCCCATGTTTATTATTCCCCCATTTGTAACCCCCGCCCCATTTTAGTGTTTAGTGTGTATATATGAACTGACGTTTGTTTGTCCTTACCACTTCACCCATTTGGCCTTGAGGTCATCCGGCCATTTGTGTCTGACTTTGCACGTGTGACTGTCGCACACTGGAGCCTGTTTGCTCCCTTGCTTTGCACTTTTGAAGTCCAAGCGGTCTGTTTGTTTTGGACGCGTATCTACTGTCGAGGTTTGTACAAATTGTGAATTTCTCTTACCCTAATAGTACCGTATAGAAACCCAGCTCCGACTTTGTTTTGCCTACCCGTAGGTTCTGGTATTACGCGTCACTCGAAGATACCGTTCGACCGTTACACCCACTTTATTAGTACACATGCAACTAGCAATGTTGTGGAATGTAGGTAGCTCGGGTGTGCTGTTTGGTTGTTGGTCTCTTCGCCGAGCTTGGCAGTTGGATTGGAATAAACTGGATCCATATTTTGTAGGACGCCTGTGATTCCAGCTTCAGCTTACTTTGGTTGTGGCACATATCCCGGGCAATCCTCGTGTGAATCGAAAATTTATTGACCCGAAGAGCAAAGTTGCTGACAGTTACTCACCAAATACACCCAGTATGACGCCTTGGAGGCAACTGCTCTTGCAAAGCTTCACGCTCCGCTTTAGGCTATAAAAGTTCCAATCAGATGCCAGCTCATCAGACAAACGTGCGAAATTACCTGATATCTATTATCCCGTGCCTCTTCTGGCTCCATGCTAATTCAGTTGACCAAATCTAGCCACTGCACCTCCTTCATCATCACATATGCTCACAACGGTTCGCATCGACCGTATGCCTGTCTTCTGCATCTGAATATCAGGTGTCGTTTTTCAAATCGGGCAGTGTTGCCTCATTGAATTAGCTAGGAATTGTGACAACACCTGACTGTTTTTTGGGCGGCTTTCGGCGCAGCGTCCGCATATTCCTGTATCCGGGTGCGGACCAAGTACAGAAATTAAACAAATTTCCATACACAGTGTGCACCCGGTTGCGGAGATCGTGCAGACATTTCCACAACCGGGTGCGAAAAATCCGAACTCAGTATGGGAACTTCTGTACCAAGATTGCACCAAGCCAAAGTCGTCCGGCGCGCAAATTCGGCCCATTATATGCATTAGTTTCTTCCTCTAGTATAATTGGCCAACTTTCTAAATAATATGCTATTGAGCTGTGATGACTAAACTGCCCCCAAACCTTTCCTCAGCATATTACATTCTTGGATGTATATAAGTTTTTCAAGCACAAATTTTCTGTGAATGAATTAAAAAATTATGGAGGAATCATCTGTCGCTTTTGGTGGCTCTCCGCAATCGTTTTCATACTTTCCGCACTTCGATTTTTAATCAGGGATGGACGACTTCCTTGATTTGCCGTAAAGTGTTGCTTTGAACCTCACAGTTGTTGCCTCTTTAATGAAAAAAGATATTTATTTAATTTGCAGAGGTGACTCATCAGATCACGCGTCACAAACACTCAAACCACGTGACAACTGCCGTCCCACTTGCAACCTTAGCCGAAAACATGTACGGTAAAACTTCTCAACCATTTTCGTTTACGCGGCTACCACTTGCATTAGGCGCGCCTGGATTAGTAAGTAAATTCAACACACGAGGTATTGTTGTATTCATGTTCATGCAAATATCAAACATGAAGGGACGCCCACACTTCACAATGCACACAACAAGTGGGCATACAACTAGGCTCAACACACAAACTAGCACGCACGGGACGGGAAGTCAACAGAGCTCCGCAAGTCTCCACGGACAACTACGGAACACCTGTAGCAGCTATACTGCACAGCAGAAAATCCCACGTCCGGAATTTTACTCAGGAACTCTCAAAAAGTGTCCTCGAACGATAAGTCACTTTTGTGGCTTGTTCTATTTTTCGAATTGTATCTATTTTTATCAGTGCACCCAAATATTGTATTCATCACATTAGAGTAAGACAGACGTCGGTTAGTGCTTGTTACCTTCTGCTAATCAACCTAAGTACGTCATAACTAGAGCACTAACAAATTTCATCCAGCCGCTTGTTCAAATAACCAAGTATAAAATAACCTTAAATACTTACAAATAAGTCGTGGTTAGCCTGGTTTACCCGAAGGCTACTTTTGTGTTTATGCATCGCCAATTTGGTAATACGGCGAACCTTGGTGCCAACGTTGGTGTATTTTGGTCAATTAGAGTTGTGCATCTCCGACCTCCTGCTGGGGCCACCTTTCCAACTTTGTGAAATCGATAACCGCGATTAAGACGAATACTTGCCAGCGGTGCCCATCTCTGAGGTGTTCTTCGCACGTTTAAAGCTCATCCAAAGATGACAAAGGTAGAAGGGTTCATGGAGCGCCTGAAAACTACTTGTATCTACTAAAGCGTCCAGTATCATATGCAGTCTCCGCTCCAAATTCTTCGTAGCATAGTTAAGTTAGGACATGGTCCTGAGAAATTACTCTGGCTTTTGGATTTGGAGAGTTCCTTCTAGAAAGTAAAGTACACGGCGTGCAAAACAAAACATGATAAGCGGCGTCGAACCACATGTTTCTGGATCGCCCATGAAAGGAACTGTTGCATATGTGGAACTGCTGATAGAATGTAGTTCGTGGTAGAGGAATTAAACGTACGTTCCACATATCATCGGAGCATCACCTGAGACGGTTGGCGCGTCAGAAATGGAGCTGGTACTGGTGTTGTAATCCGTCGGGTTGGAACATCTAAAGATGAGGAATTGACAGATTGATAAATTAGCAGGTGCTGAAGGAACTTGCGGCCTTTTAAGAGCCGTGGGCTTATGAATACGTTTGCAAACAAAGTGTTATTATCACAGGAAGCATTATGCGGTTCGTCTGTAAAATCAGACGGCAGCTGTTTCTTTTTACTACAACCATCGTAATATGATTGATATACATACTGTTTGCGCGTAGATTCCTGTATGAGCCCTTCATCTTGCTGCCCAGCAGGAGAAGCAGGCCCGGAGTCGAGGGCTTCTCGCTGCACTCAACGCGTCCAAAAAATTCTAAAAACGTTTTAAAATGAACATAAACCTACTGAAAGGCCGGAACACCTTGTGCGTGCACGACGTCAATGAACGCCTTGGTAGAGTACCCTTTGGCAAGTTAGTATAAAGGTTCTCGTCGTATATGAGGGCCAGAGTACTGAATCATTTGGTACGAACCATGATTCATCCCTCTGCCACCAGTGTTGCAAGCCAGAGCACTGAAAACTAAAACGCTGCTGATTTCACCACGTCAGTTTAAGATGGGGGAGACGTATTTTCAAGTCTGACACTCAACAGTATCCCTGGAAACTCTACAACGACGGCCAGTTGACCAGCAAGCAGAATACAGTTATCGGGAAATTTCTTCGTAAAAATGATAAACCTATGCAAAACGCGTGACATCCGCCCGTGGTTGATGGCCCCAGTGACAAACTCACATCATCCAAAAGTATTCCATCTTCGACTGCATCGAAATCCACAAGCTCACCCTGTCGGCGGTACATTTGAACAGCCGGTGGTCTTGGCCCATTGTAGTATACGGTCTGCGGTTTTGATTGATTCATATGTAAGTATTAGTGATGTACAACTATACTTACTGGACTTTGGCTCACGAGTTTTGTTTCTGTTTTCCATCCACAGAAACTTTCGTGGACACCTGCCTTCGGAGAATCACTGTCCCCTGGCGCTTCCATAGCGTGCATAGTACACCATTGATATACTGCGTTTAAAAGCACGAGTGTGGTAAATGGATCACTTAAACCTCCGTGAGACCGTTCAACGTTAACTCAGTGACTGTGTCAGATATCAACTGTTGAGCATCATTCGGCCTGTACTTCCCACAGTATATTCCAATGACTAAAGACTGACCGAGAAAAGGGGAGATTGTGCGGGAGAGTATAGGCCACGCATGGTTAAGCGAGTTATAGTAGACCCAAATACCATCAACGTTCATTTGAATATCGACAGTTGTCACCCTTGTGTGAATTTCACGGGGCCACCGTAGCAAATCTGCTTTCGGGTGCGCTGCACACTAAGACAAAACCTCGTAAATCTGTCGGCAGATTACATTCCATAGGAACCCAGAAAAGCAGGGTATTGTGGCTCCTTATTACTGCGAGCCAAATGAAGAAGCTCTGTTGCTTCCTAAACGTCTCGACCTCCTGCGACCTAAAAGCCGCACATTAGTGCAGAAGTTCTGCAAAGATTCCGCCCGGGTTCTGCATCCAGGCGCGGACGCGTGCTAACTGTGAAGCGGCGTAAAGCAAATAAACGTGGGTGGAATTTGCATAAGATAAACTGTAGATGTTCTTCTCGATGTACACAGCAGAAAGCCAGAACATGTCTAAGAGCGATAAGGTTTATACCTGGCATAAAAACGTAATGCACCGTGAGACATCATGAAGTCAGCGGTATTCGACGTTCGAGAGGATGTTGCGACGGCAAACGTCAGTTCTGAAATGTGCAGATATAGAGTTTGGTTTTACGGAATCCACGCGGCACACACACCATACATTCGCACAGGTCGGGTGGCACAGAAAAGAACACCGGAGTGTGGCAACATTGCACGTGCATTAAACCGAAACCGAAACCGGAAGACGGGGGTACAAAGTCAGGTCAAGGTCAATCAGGGGGGTGTACAAGAGGGTTGCTCTTTCCTGCCAGGGGCTCGTGGTGGCTCGTCCGTGATACCTGCAATAGAGGGAGAGGGAGAGGCACGTATAAGGTTATATGAGAGACGTGCAAGCAGAGACAGTCGAGTTTCAAATGCGTTACATTGCCTCCTGCCGAGCCTCAGCACTGTCCTCAGTGGTCAAAGAGTGCTTGTAACATGTGTACTTATCCCCGCTGTTTGGCTAACAGTGTAAGGGGGTGAGCCAGGGCCATGTGGAAGAATGGGTTTTAACTGATCGTAAAATTGGCAACGCATGTCCATATGTGCTTGAGGTATCCAACGACAGTTAGTAGCCGCAGGCGCTCGGGCACCGTGTGGCAAAAATCTCTTTGATTGAGGACAGTTATTCCACGCTTCTTGCGTGCGTTGAGGAGCTCTTTTGCTTAGTGGCAGTCGGTGCGACACGCCACTCACGTTGCTTCCTGAGTTGGCAACTTTGATGCCGGTTTGTCCAGCCAAAGGGTGCCGGTCTCCGGAAGTGTTGGCAGTGGCAACGGAAGTCTTGGTTTTGACTGGGGTCAAATTCGACGGAATGATCGAAACTGTATCTGTTTGATGGACAGCATATTCTGTGTGCCCAGCGGGTGAGGTGACTATAGAGATGTCTGCTCTGTTGATCACTGTGTCCAGGTTCGTGATATATGCGTTGTCCATCTTCAGCTGTGCACTGAAGTTCGCGTCCACCGCCACTTTTGTTTATTGTGCTTGCTGTCTACAGCTTCATTGTTTTCGTCGTCTTCAGTGTGAGGTGCTGGGTTCCGCTCGTCCACATCACCAAAATGACATGTTGTGCAGTTGGCAGCCTCCTCATGCACTTGCTTCGAGTTATCAGGTAAAGTCCGAGCTGTGTTCCATTCCGTCTCTCTTGGCGGCATTTCGTTATTATCAACTTCATTATCGAGACTTGAATAAGCCGCTTGTGTGACGCCAAGTGGGTGATCACCTTGCGCGAGCGGTTTTGTTGTAGTAACCAAGCCTGGACACAACATCAGGTGTGGAAGTGGTGGGAGAAAAATTGCGGACCGGAGGATGAGACTGAAGCATCGAGGTGTTGGGCGAAGGGTTCATGTTGGGCGAGGAGTGAGGGACCTGACTCGGCAGTTGTGTGTCGACCAGGCAGGACAAGGTAGTCCAGAGGATGTCCGGTGGTACAGACAGCGAAACGCCTGAATAAAGTACACGACGGGCGGCAGGGTCATCTAGATGGGACAGAGTATAATACTCGTGCTACTGCGGATGTATCAGTGTAAGGAATACCCTCATTCGACCCGACCAGAGCGTGAACTGGTCGCCCAATTGAAACGTCTCTGGTTCTTCCAGAGGTCGTTGGACGTGGGACATAATCTGTTTTGAAATACCGACCGATTCTTTGGCAATTTCGTCCTACGTGTTCCGTTATGCTTGGCAAGAAGGTCGAGCGTAAAATTGACTTTATCCCACCACTGTCAGCAATGTAGCGTGGGACGTCAGGAAGTCAGCGGTATTCGACGTTCGAGAGGATGTTGCGACGGCAAACGTCAGTTCTGAAATGTGCAGATATAGAGTTTGGTTTTACGGAATCCACGCGGCACACACACCATACATTCGCACAGGTCGGGTGGCACAGAAAAGAACACCGGAGTGTGGCAACATTGCACGTGCATTAAACCGAAACCGAAACCGGAAGACGGGGGTACAAAGTCAGGTCAAGGTCAATCAGGGGGGTGTACAAGAGGGTTGCTCTTTCCTGCCAGGGGCTCGTGGTGGTCCGTCCGTGATACCTGCAATAGAGGGAGAGGGAGAGGCACGTATAAGGTTATATGAGAGACGTGCAAGCAGAGACAGTCGAGTTTCAAATGCGTTACTTTAACACAGTGCGAATAAATGATGGTCCGTGACCTCGAATTTTTCCTCATTTATGCACATTGCAATTTGTCACCGGCAGGTGCATTTGGATCTGTCCAACCATTCTGGAATAGTCAAAACTTAAAACCCTATATTCTCGGAAGAATAATTTGGGTGTGCTTCTGATAGGCGGCGTGAAACAGAACGCGTTTTGATCCTTGGCCTGCAAGGAGTTGTGGGGTTGCTTTTTACTTGCACGCGGCCGTACCATTCCCGATTGTCCTATCTGACACCACCCCTGCACCCTTTTGCGATACACTTTGGTCCAAATCCCGCTGCACGCGTCCGGTCGGCTCCTTCTCGGCGTGGTCCACCGAAACCCTTCTAGTCCCCCTGAAGATGACCGATTCCTCGTACAAACTCTTAAGCAACTCTCCTCCAACTGCCACTTCACTCATATCCTGCTGGTAGGTGACTTCAATGCCACAAAGGCCTCCTGGACTGAGCTCCCGCGAGTCGAATCAGGCGGACTTTTTGCAGCGGCGCCGTTTGAAGTCGTTCAACAGAGTGCTTGGACCCAACATGTCGTTGCACCCACCAGATACCGTGCAGGCCAACATCCATCCCTCCTGGACTTGGTCATCACCAACGAAAGACACTTCGTTGATCAGGTAACAATTAACGCTCCACAGGGACATAGCGACCACTGTGTACTGACCTTTGATTTCATCTGCTATTGGGCCAGAAATCCCAAACCTCAAACGTGGTTTCGAGAATCCTGCCGTGCAGACTTCTCAGGAATGCGCATCTACCTTGAACAAGTCACACTGGGACCAGCTCCGATGGAAGAACTCTATAGCACCATAGTCCAGAAAGTTCACGAGGCCGACGCGACGTTCGTCCCAAAAAAACCGGCACGCACTCGGATGAACCACAGGATGCCAAAAAGGATTAGGCGACTTCTGGAAAGAAGATCCCAACTCTTTTTCAAAAGGTTGACCACAGGGGATACAGAAGATGAGCTGGCATTTCGTAAAATTCGGAACCGCTGTAAATCGGAAATCCACAAATGGAACATACGAAAACAAGTCACCACCTGGGCCTCGCTCGAAAAAATAAAAAACGTCTTGTTCAAACACATGGGACATCGCCGCAGAAACAAGCCATCCGCGTTCTCCTTGAATGACAGAAACGGAGAACCGACAAATGACCCAACAGTGGTATCTGAGGTTTATGGAGAACACTATGCGTGTCTATTCTCAGCCCCAGCGTCCTCGTCACATCCACTTTTGTCAAGGCGAAACCACGAACAGCCTTTAACCGACTTGGTCTTCACGGTGGACATTCGCCAACTCTCGCACAAGATCAACCCATTCTGCGCGTTTGGGGCCCGACGAGGTCCATCCAAGGATCCTGAAAGAAACGTCCTCCACACTGGCAAACCATTTACACATGGTGTTTTGTCAGTCGCTTGACGAAGGCCGCTTTCCCTCTGCTTGGAAGGAAGCGATTGTCACGCCAATCTACAAAACTAGTGACCGACTAACGCCCGGCAGCTATAGGCCTATAAGCCTCACTAGCCTGCCGTGCAAGGTGACGGAACGCATTCTGAAGCGAGCTATCCTAGATCACATTACTTCCAGCAATCTGATATCTCCAGCTCAACGTGGATTTCTCCCAAACCGCGCTTGCGTGACGAATATCCTCGTGCTTATGGACAGCTTAACCCAAACCAAGGACGAAGGACTCATATCGGATGCCATATTTTTCGATTTCTCAAAAGCATTTGATAGGGTACCACACGTTCCGCTGCTCCACAAACTCAAGTCTTAGGGGATTCAAGGGAAAATCCTCCGCTGGATCAAGGCGTTCCTATCAGACAGATCATTCTGTGTGAGAATAGGCTCGACCTACTCCTCTCCAGCGCCGGTCTCCATTGGAGTTCCTCAAGGCTCCGTCTTGGGACCACTCCTGTTTCTGATCTACGTCAACGACCTCCCAGACGTTCCTGCGAGTCCATCTCTTCCTTTTGCGGACGACTTGAAATCCTGGAGTTCCAATGCTAGT